CTTAATTTTAGGTAGAATATTAACATATACAAGTCAGTATGATTTTTAGGAAATTAGAACATTTCAGGTTTTTCATGGAAACTGATTTAATGTTCTTTAGTGTTCATGTGTAGCCTAATATAGTATCATGCAGCATTTCCCAGAGTGTGTTCTTCAGAATCAGTTTCTCTGGATGCTTGGTTAAAAAATAAATAAATTGTGTTCATATCAGTTTGGGAAATGCTACATACTTGATGATTTACAAAAGATTTTAATTTAGGATTAGAATAATCCTACAGGGTTCCAGCGGTAAAGAAACCTGTTTAACTTCTACTGTTTGAAACTAGTTTTCTGAGAAATGATGTTTAGTTAAATCTGTCTTACTACAGTTTGCTAAATTCACTTTTATTTAAATTTACTTTTAGTTAAGCAATCTAAACCTAGCATTCCCTCTGAATTTCACTATAATCAGATTAACCATCTCATATGTTAACTGAAACAACCAAATACTGAGTGCCTAGTATGTGCCAGGGACTTTCCAGATGCTTGGGACAGATTGAATAAGATAAGATTTCTGCTCTCATAGGGCTGGGAGCTGTGTGTCTGTTTAGAAGAGGATGTTAACTTCCCAGGAGAACTCAAGTAAAATGTGCGATATATTAGAATAAGGCCACTTGGTCATGAGGTCACAAACTTTTGTGTCAGGCACACTGCTAAATTGGGCACAATACAGAGATAAAGAGGACATGACCCAAATGTTTCAGAAAATTTAAACTTATAAAATTTGATGCCAGTAAACTCTTGGAATTATTTAAATATAGTAGGCTTTTCTCATTTTTCTCAATAGTTTACTGAAAAGTTGGTAGATAACTTTAAATGCTTAAAATTTCTTAACAGCTAAGATAGGAATTGAAAGACAGATGTCATTCATGACTTTTGTTGCCTTTTGGTGTAGGTATGAATTACAATAGCATTTGTGAGGGAAAAGTGGATATGTACATTTTTATTCATAAAATTTAAAAATTGCAAACATCCAGTTAAGCCACTGACAATATCAGCCTATAAATACACTAGCTGAATTATTTACGTTTTTTTTTTTTTTTTTT